GAGTTTAAAAACGTTGTTTTTTCATCGTTAAGTTTAAGTTTAAAAAAAAACTATAACAAAACAACTTCCCCTCAAATCCAAAAACCACGACTTTAATTTCCCCTTAATATCTTGGTTGGAAATTGTCTCAGTGATTTTTATTGCGCGAATCGCATTTTACGTGAAATTTTGGTTGAGAAATACGTATGAGAAATTGAGAATGCTTAAATTCGTACTATGGCGGATGGTCAATTTATGACACTGGCATAAAACCTTCATGAATAATCCCGATTAAAAATAGGGATTAAATTCACCAAAAAGCTACGCAAGTGCAAAACAACAATGTGTCGTTTCTGACCCTATTTTGAGAATCATGTTGGGATGGTTCATTTCATTGAGTAGAGGCTCATATTAGCCGTATTTAGATCCCAGGCCTGTGCGATTCTGCGCCTGTACAGAGACCAGTAATCCAGGTAATATAAGGCGAAGAAAATTAAAAGTCAAGGAGAAAGCAAGGAATTTAAAAAAGAACCCCCTGTGATAATGGTGAGTTTTAAAACCCCTTCAATTATTTACGTATGCAACATTGACAATCGATAAGGTGGAATAGTTGTATCCACGCGCCGTCTGTTCGGAGCGTTCGTTGTTGTTGCATCGACCGGAGTACATGTGAACTGGATGAACGACCGAAAAGAAGCAGAGGGGTTTTCTAATTTAGTTTTTTAGACGGTACCAATTACCTTTGCTCGCAGTTCCGCGAGCAAGTAAAAATATTGCAAGTAAGTAAAAAAGTACTGGCGTATTGTATCATCCGATAAGGGATTCATTTTGCAATAAAGAATTGCCTATTCTATCTCAATAAAAAACACCTTTCTGCATAGAGATACTTGTAGCAAATATGTCGTTTCTAAAATCAGTCAGATATAGTTGTTTCTGATTGCAAAACGTATTCCACGTGATCTCGCATTCTCGTGAGGACTCGTGATTTTCAGTGAAGTTTCTCTTCTTTTCCTACCCATTCGTTCAAGTCTCCATCGGTTTTTGTCAACACGCTACAGAAAAATGAAGAAATGGAAGGAATTCAAAGGAGAAGATAAGCAAATACAATTCCCAGGATGTACAATTGGACAGATTACAAACTTTACAGTTCATTGCAGAAGCAGATAAATTGAATGTCTAGGAAACAATCCGCACAAGATTTGGTTTCATTCTGTGCATCCCGCTGGTAAAGATTTAGAAGAACCTCTCTTGCCTATTGATGTATAAATCTCATGAAAACGCAATCCTTTTGTTTATTCCTTCGCATAATTTTTAAAACGTGGTGATTTCATCTTAAGTACAAGAGTATTTTTTAAAGAGTCATAGCGAGTTTTCCTAAGATAAAATGTGTATGTAAAGGTGCAGATTCGCTTGGCTATTCCGACAATGTATTTGACTTTGGGATTAAGCAAAACGAAAAACTGATTGAAAACGAAAACCAAGGAGGTTTTCAAGATATACGACGACATCTAGTTTTCCGAGGAAAAAATAAAATGTGACAGGAAGTCAGCAACGTCGCTGCATGCTTTTGCCGTTCGGCCATCGACAAAACTTAACGGAGGTCAGGAATGTTAAGATGCAATCCTGAGCACATCACGGGAACTCCGTTTCTATTTACTGGAGTTCTTTTGGGAAGTCACAAAAAAAGACTCCTGGTGGAAAAAAGACCCGAAGACTGCTTCCTCGGGATAAGGGAGCGTGGTGGGAGATAAAATGATGGCGCAGAAAACAAGAAGAGACCTGGACTCGGGTAAACACATTATACATGGCTGACTCCTTGAATTCGAGTGTTCTCCGCGATACGCCAATACGGCTCAATCAGCAACAAACTAACTGTTCCCCTTTTTTCCGCTGTGTTTCCGACCGTTTTTTGTCATCGGTGCCCGACCAGACCGCCTCGCTTCCTGGGCCCATCGCCTCGAGAGACTGTTTTGCCTCGTCTGGTGGGCCGCTCAGTGGCCAAACTGAGGAAGCGTCTCAAGTGGTGACCAAGGATCAACAATTGCAATGAGCCGCTACATACATTGTCGAAATTTTCAGTTAAGCCTTGTCTCCACGAGCCGTTTCACGAGATTTGTCCCAGGGAAAAATCCTACTTACGAAGTTGGCAAAAATATTGAGTTAATCAATATTTTTCCCAGTACCAAGTATGGTACTCGTACCCCTAGGACCCACTAAGAGAAGGAGAAGAAGTGAAAACGAATTGTGCGATATTTTATTCATTACTACATTGTTAATGTTTGTTCAGTTAAAATAATGTCATATAATAATGTATTGCATTATAATGTATGCATTATATAATAATGTCAATTGAGTGCAACTATTATTTTAATCCGGGTTAAATACTCGACTTTAACTAATTTATTTTCCCGCGCAAACTAATCGCAGGACTGTATGAGCCCCGTCCCGTGGAGACGGTAACTGGGAAAAATCCCAGAAGTTTCATTCCTGCGATTCGAACTTGGGACAAATCCCATGAAAACGTCCCGTGGAGACAAGGCCTTATCAGTGCTTACAATGTTAAAAATCGAGGAGTGAAATTTAGTGCCGGAGTCAATGCAGCGTCCAAAAACCCGAAATGCGAATGCGGAGCGTAATCTGAACTCCTCACGGAGTGACTTACACTATTTTAAAACGGAATCTACTCTTTTTGCGGAGTATCATTCGCTTTTATGGTGCTAATTTCACTTCGCATTCATATCATTCCGAGTTTTTGGGTGCTATATGGACTCCAGCAGCGACTTTCACCCTTGGATGTTGAACAGTGTATGGTCACTTAGGGGCTGTGTACCAAGTACGTGACGCTAAAACCCAGTGGCGTGGCGTGAATTGCGATGTATCGATTGTTATGTCATTTAAACGCATAGAAAAGGATCGATAAACTGGATGTTCGCAGCGAACATCTTAATAATCGATTCTTTACCATAGGTTTAAATGGCATAACAATCGATACATCGCAATTCACGCCACTCTACTGCTAAAACTCCTCATTCTCCCCAACGGCCGGCCCCCCTTACGACGCATACTTTTTTGTAGAGGGAAAGTGTTGGGCAATGTACATTCATCGAGACCATGACACATCTCTGCAAATACATATTAAAAAAATGAAAATCAATTTTCGAGGATTGAAATGACTAGCAAAGTTCTCAACCGAGCCATAACCATATGCTCGTCCGAGTATTGTCATTTCATAGACAACAGGATTCAGAGATCCAAGAATCTACATATCACTGTAATATGGAGGTAAAAGCTTGTAAAAACACAAGCCAATGGCAATTCAAAATCACATCATCAACAGGAAAATAATACTAACTTATTATTTTTGCGAATTTTCATGGCTACGTTATTTTGGAAAAGTTTTGTACTTGTTCGTTAATCGGCTGTGTTGGAATATTATTTCGATATGGTATTATTTTTTCCACCAATTTTAATCATAACTCATTGTCGAGCCCCCATCCCATACGTTTCGTTAAATCAAGTGACACTATACAGAGGATTTCAACAAATCTTGCGTTGTATTATAGACGAATTTTTTGAAGTTACTTACGTGTAATATTAGCATTTTACAAGTACTTTTAAAGCAATAGTCATTTATTGCCGTTTAGTACATTGAGGTAAGCAATATGAACGCATAGCAGCTAAATGCGTGAAAATTTTCAACGAATCCGAAAATGTAAGAGAGTAAAAACAACTTATTTTAGTTGTAGCTGGTATTAGTGCCTGGTTTCAAGAAAATTGTACTAAAGACTTAAATGGTACACACAGGCTTAGTCTAAACTTTCGTCTTAATATTCTCGACTTTGTTAAAACAGCAGTTTAAGTCATTGGCGGATTCAGCAAATTGGCAACATTTTTTTTCCATCTAAAGCTATGGAAATATATCGATTCTTTGCTTCTTAGAGGGGCCAGGTGCTCCGACCCGAATCGATTGTTTAACGTATATCGACGGTGAAACTACCAAACCACGTATCTCGGTTTGCGACGTCGCAGACTTCCTGTCATACTTTATTTTTTAAATGAAAAACTACTCAACATCCAGTCTTGAAAATTTCTGTGATTTTTCCTCTTTGTGCGGAGAAAATTCCGTGAAAATTTCAAGGAATGATATTGATTTGGTCTACTTAAAAAAAATAAAATGCGAGCGTAGATTTTTAAACACCGCAAACGAGATACGTGGTTTGGTAGTTTCACCGTCGATATAGGTTTAGAGAGAGGAGACCTGGTGCTGCCAAATTGCTGGATCCGCCTCTGGTTTGAGTCCCTAGGGTTCCAGGGCCTTCGCCATACCATTCATTAACGAAAAGGTTTGCTTCGAACTTTGTCATTTGAAAATCCCGTGAAATAAAACGAAATTTAACGTGGAATTGACTGATGTGTCCTCGAATTGGCTTCCATGCATCACACGATCATACTCGAGAGAATGAAAGAGTGAAATTGCGAGTCATTGCAACGAATCGCGCCCTCTCAGTGATTCGATTGTGAGTGTACTCGTGGTCTGAGAGGTAGCAGCCTCCCAGATCTAGGGTGATGAAGCAAAAACTGTCCCATTGTCCGAAGGTAAATGCCCTTCTGTCAGCAATGGGAGTAGAGACCAAAACTATTTTAAAAATCTTCAGCTCAGCCGAGACAGCTAATCTTCTCGAGTTGTCTTAAAAAGACTAGACAGGTTTCGGGAAAATAAGGTGTCTGCTCGGCGATTGGTTAGAGAACTCTCTGTGAAAGTGAATCAACGTGAAAATTGTTTCATTCAGGTGGAATTTGAAAGAAAACTAACCGTGGCGTTGTGGTTTTATTTATTTCGCTTGCACTCCGTGTGTTTCGTGTGTTTGTGATGCCGGAAATTGAGGGAAGATGCCTTTTACCAGTTTCACTGGGAATCCAGTATGTATAACTTTTTTCCACTATGTTCGTGAATTTTAATAGAAGTAAACATGCATCTCGAAATAATTACTAATCATTCAAAATTACCTCTTCTGTTTCAGATTACGAAAGTTGTCTCACAAGATTATGATGGTAAGTAAACGCGACCAAAATTATTCACTTTCAAAATTTAACCAACGCCGAAATATGTATGAAACAATCAGATTTACAGACGTACATACGTATGTTTAAAGCTCAAATTGGTTTCTTCGGAAGAATTGCAATATTTGGCACGTGACTGTTTTTTTCTCCTTTTCCTCATCCTCCTCCTCTCTGCGCTAACCCTTTTCACTTTATGCTTGTCATTTTTTATATTTTTCGCCACATCCACCCTGAAATAAGTCGCTTTATCGTATACCTCGGTTTGGTCAAACTGTATATTACCTCTCAAACAGGCTGTTAATTGTTGGAACTTTAACTGGCTGTGTCGGCAAGATAAAATAAGACATAGCTCTATTTGCGCCGTGTGATTTATCGATTTTCGATTCTTGTCGTGCCGACACTCCCAACAATCAGGCTGCAGGTGGCTGAATAGTAAATTATGCATCAGTAGGAGAGAGTGGGCGTTGATAACTACGAGAACTATGTTAAACTATGAGAAGTTTACTTACATGGGAGCTGATTTAAAACGACGATAAACTTTCTTTCCTTTCATCTTCCTCCTATTTTCTCCCGAGACTTCCGCCTTTTATGCATCTCCCTTACTTTTCCCTCTTCTTTACATGAGCTGAACAAGACGTTTTTCGAGGGGAATACAGAACTTCAATTTCAAAGGTGACAGAAACGTCACGTAGTTACTTCGCAAAATCCATAACAATTTTATCCTATTTGGACGTATTTCTACCAAACAGACCTATATGGAGGTGAGAAATATGGGGTGTGCTCGTCGAAGCTGCATAAGAAGCAATGTAAAAGTGGGCGTGATTCCTTTTGCAGAATTGGAAAAGCGGGATTTTACATTCTATCAAACAGACCTATGTGCCAACTGAATGCGGAACTCATGAGCCGCGGGCATGGCAAGAGAGCGTTGTGGACAGGGCTCACGAGTTAAAGCGCCCCGACGACGATCTTCCCCTCGCTCGAGTGCGCACTATCATTGCCGCTGACGTCACTGGCGCTTTATTATTCCCATTCACTCTTACGGCCAGAGAACTAACGAGCACACCCCGTATTTCTCACCTCCACATAGGTCTGTTTGGTAGAAATACGTCCATTTTTAAAATTGTTTTTTTCAACTGTATGCTAAGTTATGAGCCGTGGGCATGTAACAAGAGCGTTGTGGACAGGGCTCATGAGTTAAAGCGGATCGTCGTCAAGGGCACGTCGTCACCGAGCCCGGTCATCGCCGCTGACGTCACTGGCGCTGTATAATCCCCATTCATTCTTACGGCTCGAGAACTGACAAGCACATCCCTTCTTTCCCACCTGTCTCCGGTTATATGTCCACATGTGACAAGATCTGTGAAAAAGGCCCATATCCTCAAAAATTCAAAAACGAGTAATGGGCATCACTGAACAGAGGAAAAACTCAGGAAACTTCGATGCATGTTTGACCCTGAAAGTTTATGAGCTCAGGGAGATATGACGTCTTGAATTCCATGACAAAAGTTTTTGAGTTTTTTGCTAACGTTTCAGGTAGAATTGGACGTATTTCTATCAAACGGAACTATGTGCATTAAGATATGAGCCCTGAGACCGATAAGAATATGTGCATAACAGGGCTCACGTCACAATGCACATAGTTCCATTTGGTAGAAATACGTCCAATTCAGATTGGGGGTTCTGAATGCACCCAGAGAAGGAGCAGCTAGCGCCATCCCCCTTTGTGGTGGGAAAATTAAATAAAATTGAGCGTAGCTTGTTCCGAAGGCTTCTGGAGAGCATTTCCGATTGAGAGCTCAAAATCGCCTATCTGGACCTATTTCCATAAATTCGGCTTTTCTGAAAAATTTCCTCCTACAATACAAGGCCCATACACATTGGATCTAGAGTCCAGACTCTTAAAAACATCGACAAGAAAAAATACTCTTGATTCAATCGGATTTTTGCTTAGATCAAGAACCAAGCCTCTTAATTTGAGCGGATTTCTTTTTGATTTAAGCAAAAATCTGATTGAATCAAGAGTATTTTTTCTTGTCAATGTTTTTCAAGAGTCTGGACTCTAGATCCAATGTGTTTTCTTCCCCAGTGCAAATTCCAAAAAATTCCGAAAGCACTTGGAAACGACATGAAAGTCCCAAAACCTCTCCCTCCCTCGACAGTTTTCCACCGTGCTACCGTGATAGCGAAAGGACACGTAAGTGCATTTCGGGATGAGCCTCCAGGTCCATAAAAACACGTACTGACCATGATTCATACAAAAATGCATTTACGGCTCTCTTCGCTATCACGGTAGCGTGGCGAATGATGGTCAAAAGCTGTGGGGCCAAAGTCAAGCTGGGTCGAAGCGGGGACAAGCACGGTCGGTTGAGTGGCAACGACCATCTCGTCGCTCCTCTGATGTAACGGCGTATCTCAATTTCAACGTGAGCCCTGTTCACCGCATGAATCCATACTTTCCAGGGCTCATCTAGAAATAGAGATACGCCCTGCGTCCGAGGGGCAGCGATATGGAGCGGAACCGGAGTGCAGACCCGGACTCCCCGGCTCGTGCCGAGGAGCGAGCGATGATGGCGCGCGCGATTCGCACACATGAGCGCGCATTCGTCGTCCACCCCCCGGGAGATCGAGTCCCGTGATCACGAATCCCTAACTTGGATCGTCAACGCTCCTCGTTTATAAATCGTTCACGAAATTGCAAGCCCCATAGTCGCGTATTTCAAGAAAGGGATATCTTCACTAGCATGGAATTCGATCGGTCGGATGGTGGGAACCGCTTTCATTGGCTGGGATTTTCTGTTGGGAAGTAACTTGGAACATTAGAGTGATTAAGAAAGAAATTTCTGTTCCGGATTTGCGTTCCAAGTAGAAAGTCTGAAAGATGCACCGGTATGGGTCTGTTGCACTCAGGAGGGATTTGGAGTGTTATGAGTCATTCCGATGTAAATTTTCACGAGAAAACGGTTGATGTGGTTAAAAACATTTTTAGTTTGATATTAAAGCTGCAAAAGCTAAATAAAGTTCAAAGTTCCAACGGAGGCCTCTCATTGGTCGTCTACGTCACAACCAGCAATCTTATTTCCCGCCGTTTCGACGCACCTGTGCTACCCCATAAGGAATTCAAAGTCGTTTTTCTAAAACGAATTTCGGTCGATATTTAACTTATTTCACCAAATTTTCTTGCAGATATCAGTTCTTCACATCCTCTACTTTACAAATTTATCAACGACTATGTTAAAATCGCATCATATTAAAGTTTAATACATGTAAGGAAGTCCCGAAAGTGTGGTTATGTCTCCCTTTAGGGGGTTTTGCTGGTCAAGTCAATGCTGTTTGCTCAAATACATCAACGCATGTATCGGATATATTGTGTAAAACCAAGTTTGTATTCATTATTTGACTCTTAATGATTACTTATTGTCCCAGTATTTCAGTGCAAATGATGTATGAGTGAGGTATTCCTGATCTGTCCTGCTTACTGCAACAGCTACCTTTCATTGGAAGTTTTAAAAATATGATGGAAACTATTGACTTAAATATTTACTCCCGATGTCATACCTATATAGTTTTTGTATATACTCTTTGCATCATTAGTTGTAAGTAATTATTAAAATACCATACATTCATCGAAACAGGCACTGGACTAACCGGAGGGGTAGTAACTCCTCAACCGGACGGGTGATTAAGGACCTCCAACAGTTCATAGCTGGTGCTTGGTTGGCAGAGAATCTTACCTTACGTAAAATTGATGGTATTTTCAACTTATTTACTTATGAGCGGACAGATTTAAACAAGTAAATATGTTCAAATGAGTACGTTGATCTCTCAGCTAGTCAGCTAGCGCAGCTGAGCAAGACACATTTCATGCAAAAAAGTAGAATCTAATGATCCAACATTCAATGAATTAGATTCAGAAAGCTGCATCAGATAGTTCCTAGGAATAAGGAACCTAAAACTACATTATATGAGAGTTTTACCGTGAAAACAGGACTTATATGTATCCCAGATAAGATTGTAAACATAACCTCACTTTCGTGACATGCTTTGATGCATCGGAAATAATTAAATCATCTGATGCGATTTGTAAGTTACTAGGGATTTTTTTATCAACTAGAGAGGATAAAGAGTCTATTATCGCAAGAAAATTTGATGAATACGGCCTCTAACAGTCTGATAATTCCTTTTGAAAATTTTCCTCTCGATCCCTTATGGGGAAATCCATGTATTTGTAAAATAAACAAACGTGGGGTATTGGTTGTGACGTCACAAAATGGCTTCACTCTCCCGTCATTTGTAGTTTTAAATTTTCCCGCCAAAATTTTTTGAACTTTTGGGTGCTTTTTTGGGGTGTTTGGGGGGTCCAAAAATTCTGGGAAAAATTCATGAAGCTCAGAATGATGCACTTTATTAGAAAATGAATTAAAAAAAATAGGTGCAACAGACCCATTTTGGAGTCAAATTCTGTGCCGGAGTTAAAAAAAAAAAAAAAAAAAACACACTATGGATATTTTTTTTGTTCCAAGTAATCCTATTCTTCATTTTAATTGCCCGTGGAAAAACCAGCAAAACCGGCATTTTTTCGTGTGGTAGGAGGATGCGCAATTGCGCACCCCCGAAAATAATCCTAGCGTGCCCAAATTTTGCACACCTCTACTTTAGTATTCTGTGTTCTAGATTTTGTCACCGGGTGCGGATATTCCAAACACCAAGCGTGTTATAATTATCCGAAAGTAAAAATGAGAAAAATCCCGATTTTAAAAAAGGAGAGTGCGTACGCTCCAAAAATAAACGGATTGACCTGAAATTTTTCTCGGCAGCTTTATTCTTGGTGCCTATCTTCCGGAATTTTCACCAGGAAACATGACCGAGATCGAAAATTTTTCCGGGTCACCCCAGCATCATAACATAGCCTCGGACTTCTCTCTTCCCGTTAGCTTGCGTAACGTAAGCTTATGATATGTTACGCGACTTAGCAAATGGCTGATGATGAAGGT